TTCAGCAGAGCCTTCAGAGATGCTTTGTTCCGAAGGGTTTATGTCTTGACGAATTTGCAACGTTGGAATTGTCGGTTTGCTTTCTGCTGAATTTCCATACAACGAGAAAACCAGTAGAAGAACAGCTGAAGTCGTGTAAATGACACTTTTCTAAAGGAGAAGAAAATTAAAAAGTCATTCGATAAGTACAAGTTTCCCCAATATGACCATTCTGTAAGCAAGTGAAACAATATACATCAAAATAACAAGCCAACAAACATGAAGAGAGAGAATAAAATAAAATTACCTACTGAGCTAACAGGTTTAAAAACTTGAGGTTTTGAACTTTGGCCCTCTCTCAGAGCGACTCAAAGCTAGGGATTTTGGGTCTGTGTAGTTTATAGTTATCGAATGGTGGTAACATAAGAAACAAAGAAACAAAAAATAGCTGAATGAAAAGAGACCCTGTCGCAGTTCATGATTTCTGCTTGAAGTACTGCTAAGTTTGATGGAGACGCACTGGAATATATTTTTTGTTGTTGTTTAATTTTTTTTTTTGTGCAATATTTCTTGCCAATATTTTGCAAAACTCAGAGAATCGAATATAAACGACTTAGTGCTCAAGGGGCCATTCGAGAGCTGATGAGTGTAGTGCTGTCATTACAAAACGTAGTCGTCTGTTTAATTGCTTCTCTTTTTGCAGAATTTTTGAAAGAAGGGAAAGCCCAATCACAATAAACGCGAAGTAAGCAAAAATATTTTTTTGAGTTTGCCCTGAATCATCAATTTGCACTTACCTTTCTTTCGCAAAATGCCATTTTGAATTAACCCGTCAGGCTAGTCGAGGTAGTTCGGTTGCCTTAAAAACTCGAATATACTCAGAAGTGTTCTGTGTTCTTTCAACTCTATGAATTTGACAGTCCAGAAAATTTGACTTTCTTTAATAGCTACACCGGGAACCTTGAACACCACTCGACTATTACTCCAAAACATTTTTAGCAAATTACGCCTTTCGTCCAGTTTAGTAGTTCAGATTTTATAATGAAAGAAACTCTTTCCAATTGATCCTCATGGATGGGAGTTATCTTCCTCTACTTATGCAGAATGCGGATCTAAGTTGGAGCAAGTCATTGTTCTGTGTTCTATTTTCGATACCATTTGCACTTTCTTTAAATAAAGCTTTTCATCCTCTTTAATGCAGCTCACGTGGTAAGGCATCCTTCTTGTTTAATTGAGGAACTTGCTGCATCACTTGGCTGCAAGAATCAGTTTCTTCCGCCCAAAATGTATAATTAACCTCACAGTGCATACAGAATGTTGATGAATTCACCGTCATATGGACATCAGGGGACATCAGGTGACATCACTTTTCTACGATTCTTGAATTCTCCGCTTTTTGTTGGAGAGGTGTAAACGCTATTTTTTTTTATTTTCCTTGAAACAAAGAAACAATCAAAACTGAAAAATGAATAGATAATAACAACTATAATGAGCTTATTTCTTCATATATTCTTTTACACTTTACAGGGTCATTTGGTATCCGTCATGACGGACTCTAAACTGGCCGGAAAAAAAAGTAAAGCGGAATAACACTTTTGTTCTTCCTTCAAGTAAGTTTTGAGGGTCGGACTAGAAACAAGAACTTCCTTTTATCGCTGAAATAGTTTTACGTGATGAATCTGCAATTGAAAGCAAAGTCATTGAGCCCGTTAATTGGCACGTGCGATGTTAATTACAAAATTTGATTGCTAAATCTCAAAAGGCTGTTACAGAAAATAAACAGCACGGCAACAAACAACAGAAGAAAAGCACTTTGTTTTTCGACCATTTTGGTACTTTTGCTTATGACTCGAAAATTACTATCTTCGCGGTAGAGCTTGGTATCTTTACATATTCAACTTATCAACATTATTCCCAAGCCGGCTTTTCTGTTAGGATGAGAGCTGCCGATCTATGCTTAGTGTCCACCATGAATTTAAAGATCGCAATGTTTTGGCTTTTAAACATTTATTTAAAATTAAAACAGGTACATAAATAAGCTTCATTAGAGGAACAGTCGTAAAACAGATTGGTGCTTTGACCAATAAATGAAGTATCTCAGTAAAAGGATAAAATAGCAAACAACCCAAAAAACGTCTTTGCAAATCGACATACATCGTCAAAATATATCTGGCTTCCGTAAAACGTAGCAACAGGCGTGGCGAGGGAAGGGGAGGGGGAGGGTGCAGACGGCGATCCAGCTAAAATGCATCAAATGCCGATACTCTGAGTCAGTTAAGGTTGAATGATATTTCACGAATGAATATGAAAAGAGTGACAAATAAATACATAAATATAAACAAATGAGACAATCCATTTAGGTAGGTGAAAAAATTGTCCAAGACCCACATCATCATGTCACAAAGAGAGATACACAACTTCACGCGCCTTCTCCTATCGATATGTGATTGTTAGGCTTCTCTTTTATTTTGGGTCTTAGACTTATCCGGAGATGACACACTTTGGACCCTTGA